AGAAATCCGGGAGGACGTTCTGTAGCTGAGACTCGGAGCGCACCGAGTGATCGGATCAAGTTCGAGGACATGTTGGTGGAGAAAGTTGTGGGGGGGGGGGGGGGGTGGGGAGGGGACCAGCAACTTTATTTGCGGTGGCCCTGCCAGACACATCAGTTTGTACATATATGTAGGACTCAGTGAGCAGTCACGTCTCGATGACCGATCACGATCCCCGTGACCAATCAAACAGTCACAAATCCCCGAAGAGCAGTCATAAAGTCACACACCAGTTTGAATCCCGATGACCAGTCACAAACTGCCGCGACTTTCTCTTTGAACGGTCACAGGATCCACGTCAAAATATTACGACTCAACTGTAGGCATTCACGCGTTCAGCATACTTTTTTCCTTCACAGGTTTCAGAAGTGAGCAAGAAAGATTTCGATCAACTCTCGATCTCCGCGTAGTTTACTTGTAGCTCGAGTCTGGTGTGTGTGGGCTCCTCTCCAAAACGAAGGGTGGTCGAAAATCTTGCAGGCTTCAGATAGAATCTCTTTTGAGAGGACGTTCTGGCTAGTAGGTTGTGCTATTCATCATATTTGAAGAACAAACTTCGTCGTTCAGAAAAGCTATTTCGGAATACTTTCAGTCATGTAATTTTCGCATGCCGATCTTGCTAGAGCAGAGACTGACTTCAACTGATCCAGCATGCAAGCAGCACTCGATTTGTGTTTTTGGAGAGGATGGGTGACAAGATTACGGAGTCAGAAGTGGACATCGTCGACGATGCAGAGACGAAAATATAATGAAGATGGAAATGAAAATATGTTCATTTCCAAGAAGGTACTGAGTACATCAAGCACCTTCGTGTGTGTAGCTCTGTCTTTCTTGTGGAAGACTCCACAGAAAAACAATGTCCAGCTTGTTGAAACTGAAACTGCCTCTCAGTTGAAGTCGTTCAGGAAGACATCTATTCAAGACATCATTGATCCATTCTCAAGGACCATCGTAAGAAATTAAATCAAGTCATGTTTATCGATAAGAATGGCGAACTAGACCAGAGAAGTGTGAGTGTCTTGTTTTGACTGCAGGAAACTGTATTTCAATATTGTGGCTCAACGTAGTGCTTACGCAGTTTACTGCTTCGAACACATCTTCATTTCTACTCCCAAAATAACTCTGTAAAATTTATTGATGCAACATTATGCATCATGGTCTTTCTCGTTGTGCTGCTATAACGTGTATAAGTACATGCATACGAGTACTGTGTACCGTTTACTGTCTCCTTGTCAGTGTTTTTGGGCGATCCTCCACACCTTCATTTGTCTTCCAATTATTAATTTTATAGAAATATTCACTCACTTCAACTTCTTTTGATTGCTGGTGCGAATGTAGCCTGCGATGCCTGCTTGTTAGTGAGAGTGCACCAGACATGTATCGATATGTATGTCTGACGAGATGTTCTTGAACTGGCATGCTGCTTTGCTTAGATAAGGTTTAGAATTGGGTGCTCAATGGCCTGGAGGAATTAATCATGTTTGCGATCAGTATCACCAAGAGTACGGTTCTTCCGTCTACGCATCTCTTCTTGGCTTGTGGATTGGTTGAAAAGAGATAAAATAATAATACAGAAGTACTTGTGTCCAAGTGTCGTCGTGAAAACAAATTCTACCTCCGTAACTTTGTCCGCAAGGTCACGTGAATCTAGCTGGTAGTCCCGCTGCCTATTGTGTGTGTGTGTGTGTGTGTGTGTGTGTGTGTGTGTGTGTGTGTGTGTGTGTGTGTGTGTGTGTGTGTGTGTGTGTGTGTGTGTGTGTGTGTGTGTGTGTGTGTGTGTGTGTGTGTGTGTGTGTGTGTGTGAGTGATGGCCTCAAGCGCCATCGCTGTGGACCCCGCCCGAAGCGCCCTACAGTGACTGATCGCCAGCACTTTGAACATCATTGCCGAGTCTGTAGTCAACGCCAGTTTCGGAGGCGACAGGACCTGGAGCGCCATTTGAAGCACTGCCTACCTCTACCCTAACCTCTCTGACAGTACCTCCCTTTGGGGAGCGGCGTGGTCATTTCTGGCAGCTGTCAATAGTAGTAGTAGTAGTGTGTGAGTAAGTGTGTGCGCGCATGTGTGAGTGTGTGTGTGTGTGTGTGCATGCGTGAGAAAGAGAGAGAGAGTGTGAGAGTGTGAGAGCTGTACACCAGGCCAGGTGTGTGTGTGTGTGTGTGTGTGTGTGTGTGTGTGTGTGTGTGTGTGTGTGTGTGTGTGTGTGTGTGGATGTGTGTGTGTGTGTCTCAAACTCTCTCTCTTCTACTCTCCCCCTGTCTCGGGGGTGGCGTGGCTAAGCATTTGGCAGCTGTACACCAGGCCAGGTGTGTGTGTGTGTGTGTGTGTGTGTGTGTGTGTGTGTGTGTGTGTGTGTGTGTGTGTGTGTGTGTGTGTGTGTGTGTGTGTGTGTGATGTAGAGAATGAATGACATATGTGCGTGTGTGTGTGAGAGAGAGAGATTTAGAGAATGAGTGTGTGTGTGTGTATGTGAGAAAAGGGAGAGAGTGTGGGTGTATGTGTGTGTAATGGTGTGGGCATGTGTGGTCCCCAGCTCTATTCTATGTCATTCACGCTGGAACTGCTGCTGAATAGCCCCAAGTCTGAATACTTGGCAACTTCACGTCTGCACCTGACTCTTGCACTATGATACCCGTCGCCTATGATACCCCTCAGAATTTCCCACCTTGCTCCCTCTTATGTTCAGGCTGCCCGTTTAGGAGCCATCAGTTACCTGACGATCGTAGTAATACGTGAAACTCAGAGTTGTGACAAAGCCTCCAATCTCTCTTGTAATACAGAAATACCTATATTCTGACTGTGACTACTCACAGAGAAAGAGTGGTCACAACTGTACATTCCGCATGTAACTGTTCGCATGGAATTAATGTTCACAACTGCATTCTGTGACCGCTCATAGGGAATTATAGTTTCCACAACAAATCCTGCAGTACGAAGCACCCTGCGAGCAGTCACGAACTGTGTACTTTACACATGTACATGTATGGTGATTTGTGACTGGTCATGGGGCATTGTGACTGGTAAACTAATTTGTGACTGGTCATGGGGGGTTTGTGACTGTTTGACTGGTCACGGGGACCGTGATTGGTCACGGGGCCTTGACTGGTCACTGAGTCCTACATATAGCTGAGGGTGGCGACCAATCTCCTTGCTGCCAAACTCTGGAGGAGGACATCAGGGCCAAGAATGTGGAGGGCGGGTCTCTGCACTCGATCAAGAAGGCGCAGATGGCCTGAAGCGGCTCCCATCCATACCAATGGCGCATACTCTAGGACTGGCCCCACAAAACCTCTGCAGATGGTTCGTTTACCAGCACCATCGAGTACGCGAGTAGCTTTGCGCAGGAAACACAGGCGAGAATTCTCGAGTGCTGTGTTGTGGAGGTGGGTCTTGAAGGAGAGGCCCGAGTCAAATGTGATCCCGAGGAGGTTTACCTCCGATAGCTCAGACGCAGTGTGATCTCCAAACGTGGGGTCCATGATATGCCACCTGTGCCGCTGATGGGCTATCGTCACGAGCTGTGACTTTGTGGGATCAAACCTGATCCGCTACTTCTTGCCCAAGTCATTGAGCGCATCCAGGGTAGCTTGTAAGCTTTTCTTACTGTTTGGGAGCATTTCGGGTGATGCAATACAGGTGTAGACCGTTGTATCATCGCCGAAGGTGGCCAGTGAACCTCCAGGATGTAGGCACTGCTCCGTGAAAGTGGATTGTGAGCAACACAGACTCACGCAGAATCATATCAGGAAAATTGTTTCCGTCATAAAATACCCATCATCAGAAATGACAATAGCAACAAGGACATCAAGAATGAATTTGGGCATGGTCACCACTGGGAAAAGTTTGATAATGAACAGTGCTGCGGGGAGATAATATTCATACATGCATGAACTATGAAGAGAGAGAAAAGAGGTTGAGGAAACATCGGAAACAAACACAAAACTGGTACAGCAAAAACATGATACGTGACAACTGTAAAACATTCCACATGCACCAAGCAGAACATGTGCGTGTATTATGTACATCTATGAACTCGGATGGAGAGCCAAGGATTATTTATGCAAAGCAAGAAGGACCAAGACACTACAAGTTACACTATAATGTCCACTAGCACCACCAGTTACTAAACAATCAGCTCATGCGATAACATTGCACGACACTGACCGACGGCACTGACGTTCTACAACTAACTGGCTAGTAATGTTATTGCATCAGCTGATTGTTTAGTAACTGATGGTGTTAGTGGACATCATAGTGTAACTTGTAGTTTCTTGGTCCTTTCTACTTTTTATAAATATGTACATGTGCACATAATTGCGGTTGCTGGCAACAGCAGTTTATGGAAGTAGACAAATAATTCACTATCCGGGAGAAGCAAGTACTGGGTCAGTTATTTGTATCAGGAATGCCTTTACAGGAGGTTCAATCCTGCGTTGGCTTTTATTCTCGGGCCCATGTCCCGAATTTTTATCGCTTTGCGTATCCTCCTCCTCCTGGCCCGATGCGACTCAATTGCAAGGACTTGAACCTCCATAAATGCTGAGTCACCAAATGGCAGTACCTCCCTGCTATGGTGAAGCCAGAAGGGCACATACTTTGGTATTCTCAGACATGGTCTCTTTTGACGCATGACATTTCCTGATTACTAGTAGTAGTACTCTGTTCAGAACCTGAACAAACTGTTAGGTCCCCATCTTCTGCATACTGTTTCTTAGTTCAAACTTTCTCTTGCTGGTCTGAACCCAGTACACAAAGCTTGATGAGTTCCTGCATAGCAGATGCTTGTGCACCTGTATTGGTCATAGGCACTCAGGCCTTTTATCTAAATTGTAGCTCTCTCCCTTGCTCCCTCTCTCTCTTTTTGCCGTGATCAATCATGTAGTCGTTTGTCTCTCTGTCCCTACCCTTGTTGTTTCCCCAAAACAAAATATCTTCAACGTTCTCACCTCTCCCTACTCCAGGATCAACAAACACCGTTGCACTTAGCCTGTCGATACGGCAACCTGGAGGTTATAGAACTTCTGCTTCGAACGGGTTCAGATCTTCTTGCCTTGACAAATGTAAGTCACACTTTTAGTGGAAATAACAATCATAATATGCCGATGAATAGAATCAAGTGCGCACTCGTATCATAAACATTGCAAGCAAACATGTTTCAATTTAAAGGGGAACTCCACGGAAAATGAAACTTTCATATCCTGTAGTCTCGGGTGCTGAGTCGAATGCTCTTGGTCCGAAGTCTATACGGCAAAGCGTTCTTGAGATATTGGCAAAAACGGGGGCCGCGCCGTGACATCATGCGGCCATTTGGCTATGTCATTCCGGCCTGCCTGCGTCATTGTGGCACGGTCTGAATCTAGGTGCACTCTTTTAGTATTCAATTTCAAGGAAAGATGAGCTATACTGAACAATTCTTTGTACCCAGCAATGAAGGCAGCGATGCTGAGGTCAGTGAGGACCACCATCAACCCACCCCCGCATATGGTTGGGGCAGGGAGCCCAGATACTCTGCTAAGGAGCTGCCATCGTGTGTAACAAATGTTGAGGAAGAAGATGCCTCAGCAGCTGCGTCCGACAGAAGGATGACGAGTAGCTTGGCCACCAGACTCTCGATTCGTTTGGGACTCGGACTGGTGCGAGTGTGGACAAAAGTGTATAGCCATGCCCAGCCCGCGGGAATGATTTTTCTGGTAGGATGCTTCCGTCGCTGTCGAGAAGACAGCCCAAGGTTTCTTGCGTAGCTGACCTCCCAGTTTACGAGATCGTAACCTTGCATCAGGCTGTACCCACCACTGCTCTTCAAAGTTATCACGACATGCAGAAGCCGCCAATGCCAGTGACAGAAGAGTCTTAAATTAGGTAAGCCTCAATTAGTTTGTCTTGACTTGTCTTGTGAGGATCGCGCATCAATATGATCAATAATTTTTTTGGAGGAATTTATTGTTGTCAGGTGCACTACAGTAGGCGTCGCACAAGAAAAAAATGTACTGGTAGTTATAAGAAATTTCATGCATGACACAAACAAATTCTCTTTGCTCCAAGTGTGTCTTGACTTGCCTTGTGAGGATCGATGCGCGTAATGTTTTGCGTGTAACTTACTTATTGTTGTCAGGCATGGCACGAAAAACGTTGTACTATAGTGCTAGTAGTTATCACATGTTTTCATGCGTGACTCAAACACATCAATTTTGTGTTTCATTATCCCTGGGATTGGTACAAGATCTGCAAAGTATGGTAGTGTTCTGTTGGTGAAGAGAGCACTGCGCACAGTTTATGAGCAGGATGCGTGCATTTGATCACACCCGAACCCATACTGTATCGTTTCACGCGATAGGCTTTGTCAATACACCCGTTCTCTAGTATACCATGTCATGCAACGTACAAGCGTGGGGTCAAGAAAGCGTACACCAAAATAATGCACAAATTCTGGCAAGAGAGTAAGACATCAGATTCTATACTTTCTGACCAAGACATCTTTGTACTAGTAGGTAATCGAACGTGTCCTAATCAGAATTCATCAATCATTAGAAATTCTGCAAGAACCTCCATCTTTGTACCAGTGGACACTAAATTGTTATGGCGCGCGCACTGAACGTGCAGGTAGGTACCGGTAGGTGTAATTCAGCGCATATGTAAAGTAAATGAGTATTTGACTATAGTATAGTCACTATACCATACCATAATAATTATTACCGTCCAGCAATGTGGTATGTGTACAAGCACTCAGCATACACACTCCGTATGACATTCTATGTTTCTGTAGATCTCTACGCTATGCGGCACACAGGCAGTACACACTGTATGTACACGGCAAATTGGGCAAGCACGTTTGTTGTCGTCTTCCAGCCTGCGTCGTGAATACCATCATGCAAAGATATCCAAATCCTGCACCACCTCAGCCTTCTCAGGAGACTTCCACCCGGGATTAGGCAGGGAAAGCGTTTCTCCAAGGCAGGAACATCGAGGTTGCCATTTGCAACCGCTACCACCTCACACATGAGCTTGTCAGCAATCTCATAACTCTTTCTGTCGTATAATTATCTATATGGCCACATAGCCTTCTTTATGCTGTGAGAACTGGACTTCATACCTTCCTATCGGGGTCTTTTTGGTTGTGCTGTGGCGACGGTTGACATTGACGTCGTCAAGAGCTGCTAGATGTGCGTGTCCACTCATCCCCAGAATTGAGAAACGAGTGCGTTTCAGAATGTATTTTGGCATGGCACTGTGATATACCTGCATGGCGAAAAGAATGTCGAGAAAACACACTTGCTTAGACAATATATATATATAATATAACCTAACCAGTTGATTATATGGGAAATATAAACCTGTATACAAACCGAGGCGAAGCCGAGGTTTGTATATTGGTTTATATTTCCCATATAATCAACTGAGTAGGTTATATTATGCTTATACTGAGCTGATATACAAACTCCCCTCTCCCCCACAAGGGTAGAGATTGGAATTCCAACCCACAACCATGGCTCGACGAGTCTTCCTTTCACCAACCTGTGCGGATCAAGTACATGTACAAGACTACCACTGACTCTGTGCAGTGCATGCAGTGCTAGTGCAGTACCATCACACATGTGCACACTCTTTGTGACTTCAGTTTAGTACTGAAGTACTAGTTACATCGGAAGTAACAGCTATGCGCCAAGTAAGTTAGTTTGAACCTCACAGTGCTAGTGACCGTTACCGCGCGCAGATCTCACCGCGGGCTCTGTAAAAGAACCGTTTGCTCATTAGACTTTAGAGACATAGAGTTTGTCTCCTTTCCAAAGTAAGAGTAAAATGAATCAGCACGAGCCTGTTGAATCGACTCCCAAACGTTTCTTCTGAGGACGACCACGAATCACGATGCCATTATTCAAGCAGCAGTTTCTAAGAACACTGGCAGTGCCACGGATTATGGCTGCGCATGTTCCGTCCGCTCTGCGAGGGACGCGGAAAGGAGAACATCGATTGGAAAACCATCAGTAGTGATGTTCCGTCGCCCCTGCTATCTGCATTCTATGTCCATGCAAAAACGCAGGAGGAGCGGCACGCGGGGCTCTTCAGCCGCACATGTCGAGTGCTGCGCTTGACAGACGGAGTGCTGAAACAGCGAAAGAAGGACAGCCTCGAACGCCAGGTGCAGCACAAGGCACATGTTACAAAGGACGACGTTGTATTCTTCATCGTTGACGGGAAAGAGATCCTGAAGTTGGGACCGTCGTGCATGTCGAAAAACCATCAAGGCGGACTGCAGGTCACTAGTGTAATCCTAAAAAAAAGGAGTTTATATACCAGTTTATACACCAGTTTATATACCAGTTTATATACCAGTTTATATTCTCGTCATCGAAGTACCTGTTATATGCAAAATACAAGTCTGGAGTGTTGTGTGGGGAGAGATGGGAGTTTGTATACAAGCTCAGTATAAACTTCTATATGTGTTACAAACCCCCAGTTCTCAAGTGGGAAAGGCCTTCTGGCTTATGACATTGTATTCGTTGCAATGTTGTATCGCGACTCCACCGTACTGCTGATGTTTGCTGCATTGCGTACGCTATTTGCGCTGTGTGCGTTTTGCTGTATACGCTGTCATGTCATGTTTTACATGTGTATGCTTTGAGTAAACATGTACACTGTTTTTGCATGCTATAAATAGCTGGTGTTATTAGTGGTAGTTAGATTCAATGGAAATCAAAATATACTGTTGAGAATAAATAGTTGTCCTCGTTGGGTGTGGTCGTTCGTTCCTGATACTAAAGAGAAGCAGAGGGTTCATTACAGTTTGCGACCACGCCAGGATACGGAGCGAGCATGGCAGAGCAACTACATAATTTGGAAGCCAGCTTTATCGCCAATGGAGTTCGGTTAGGATTGGAAGGCGATGAGTTGAGGGAACATTTGGAGCAGAGGCTCGGACAGTACGAGGAGCGTGAGGAGCGCAGTGCCAGACGGCGAGAGGAGGCGCTCTGCACCGAGTTTGAAAAAAAGCTCAAGGAGATTAAGGAGCGCATCGCCAAGGCGTATGAGGGTGAGGGAAAAGTCGCCACTGAGAGTGCGATGGGAGGTACAGCGGAAGCTCCCAGTCACAGCGGTGGGCGTAAACCATTGATGAAAATCATCTCATATGATGGAACGCAGTCAGGAGCGTTATCCTGACCTGTTCGAGGACATCTGTTCCAAGAACGGGTTCGAAGAAAGCAAATGGCTGCTGCGATTACGCATCACGCTAGCGGGTAGCAAAGCTGAGAGGATATGTATTGGATGCAACAATTACGAGGAAGCAAAGTGAGAGTTGCTTGCCTTGCTCGGAAAGATTCCGGATAAAGCGTGGAAGACATTGCTGACAGGCAAGCAGGGGTCAGATGAGTCTTTTCACCAATACGTTGTTCGTGTTTGCCGAGAGGTAGAGGTAATACATGACGTGTTGGACGGAGCAGGTTACAGCCGGGAGAAACCGACTGAGATAGTAACGGACAAGAAGGTTGGATCGTGCTGTCTACACTCAGCAAGTGTGCGGCTGATGACCGGAGTGGCGCGAGTTGAGGGAAGAACTCGAAAGGCGAAGGTTCGCGTATTCCTGGACTCTGGTGCTGAGGCGTCATTTGTGACTGCAGCGTTGGTGTCAGCAATCAATGCAGAACACATTGGTGCTGAAAATGTAGAGGTGAAGCCGTTCGGCGCAGAGCCAACCCAACAGCGCATGGATAAAAACGCCATCACAATCCAAGGTAGCTCCACTAGCATTCCGGTATGCGCGCTCGTGAAACCAACGCTAGAGCTAGACCTTAAGTGCGCAAGTCTGCAGACCATTGCTCAGTGGCACAGTTGGGGAGTAGAGCTGAGTGACAAGCCTCAGCAAGAAACAACAGACGAAATACACATGCTGATCGGTGCAGAATATATCAACGCGATACAGCACAGCAAGAAAGAAGTTAATGGCGAGACTGTGTGTAACACAGAGATCGATAGTGTAGTATCTGGTCCAGCGTCTGCACCCAGTCGAAACAGTCAGCCGGTGACCGTGTCATGTGTCACAGCCCACATCGACAAACTATGGCAG